TAAGGCCCACACTAATAACCTCAGCTTAACTTGATGATTTCTTTAAAGACCCTATCTCAAAATAAGGTCACATTCTGAGATATTGAAGGTCAGGACTTTAAAACATGAATTTTATGGGAACACAATTCAACCCATAACAGAGCCCATTAATGTAATCTACACAGATCAGTTTCAAAGGACCAGGGCAGAGAGGAAGAGACTGTAGAGTGGATCTTGAGGGGTGTGGAGATTTAGAGTCTATTGTATACTTTCACTTAGCATACCCTGTTAAGGAAAATGAATACTTATTTGATCATGTTATCTGTGTCCTTACTTAAAAATTCTCCAGTAGTCAATATTGCACATAATGTAGTTAATAGTTCTTACAGTGGCATTCGATGACTTACACAAACTGACTACCATTGTATTTGCAGACCTTATCCTCGTACATTATTTCCTTCTTCTATTACTATTTCCTTCTTACTGACTTAAAAAACATCCTCCTTTATTACCATTTAACAGAAATAACGTAGTGTGGTACAGGTTTTGTATCTAGTTCTAAATCACTTGAGAAAATATTCATTAACATGTGGGTTTCATTGGTATAGGTCAGTCTTCTTAATCTCATTCACTGTTCACATAACCACTCACTATAATTTATTGGACACCCACATGACTATACATAAACCATAACTGATAACTGATTTTCTCAAGGGTAACTGAAGATGTTTCTCATTTGTTCTAGTTTATTTGGTTCTGTACAGCTCTTAGTACAAGAGCTGCTACGCCTAAACAAAGGACCAAATCAACAAAATCTACAAGAGACAGCTCTAAGAGAATTGATGGAGTTTATAAAATTTACATACAAATCAGGATGCAGACTAGGAGTTTAAGATTAAGGCAGCAAATGAAGGGATTCTTTAAAATGCATGGGTTCATTTTTAATGGCAGGCACTTAAAAAACTTTAAAGTCCCATATTTGAGGAGGTCAGAAGAGCCTAATTTATTTCTGTCTTTGAATTCCACCTTACCTCTCTTCAAGAATTAAGGTATATGTTAATTTGGACTAAACATGGAGAGATCCCATTTATATATAAGCTTATTTAGTATAATAATGTAATATTTATGTATAATTATATTATATGTGATATTATAATGGAAATATTTAATGTTTATGATGATACAAGTACATGTGGTATATTAATAACATAATTAATATGACTCATGTGCAAGTATTATAAATATAACAGACATAGATACAGTGCAACATCACATTGTCATATTTGTGTTTGCCAGAGAATACATGCACCACTATATTAATCTCTCTGGACACCTCGTGCTTACAAATATCCATGGTTTTCAAGAGTTGGTGACAAATGCATACCTATTTGTATTTGTTTTCTCCCTTGATATACTATATGCTGTTGTTCAGAAAGTCTAACATCATTGCTGGGGCCCATTTTCACTTTCCCTTTCATTAAAGGATGAGCAACAGCTGTAGCTAATGTCTCGCCGAAATAGTTTTCAATGTGTGTGTCTTTAATATCTTTATTATACCACTGTATATTTCACCCAATTTACGTTCTCCCATTTTCCTTCCTGCTTTTGTTAGGTTAACAATCACACATTCATCTTTCAAAAGGGCCACGCCACCCTGCTGAACACCTTGTCTTTCCTTGTTCTGAAAAATCATGAACTCAGTTACACTTTCCCGGGAGATATCAGTTTCACTCTTTGAGAGAGCCCTTCATCATGGGTGGACCACAACCTTGCTGTTCCTTCGCCTCACAATTTCATAAGGCAGGAAGGATGTGAGGAAGGATGCTTCTCCTATATTTGTATTTAAAGAGAATGTCATCGTTCAAAAGAAACAAGATGAAGGAGTGGAGAGCTGGGCATGAAATATGTGCATATAATTTACCTTTACTATAAAGATTATGTTAATGGTCAAAAAAATTATGGCCACAGCATTCTTGAATTGAGTTAAACTTAAAACTGAAGGTATTTTTCTTTTTACTTCTAGAAGTGTATTTTAAAGGTGTCAAAACTGAAATTCATGGAGCCATGCTCTCATGCTTGTTCTTTATAGATGATAATCTAAAAACCACACAGACTTCTAAAAATTTTCCATTACTTAAAAAACAACAACAAGGGCATGTGAAGAAATATGTCTGAGTTGAGATAATTCAGACCAGATATAGACAGGTTATCAACTATTTTTTGTTAAAAATAAAAAGCAACAGTGCATGTCAATTGCAAAAAAGAAAAATAGTCATATAACAAAATAAAAGTGATTTTTGTTATTAACTATCCTTAAAAGTGACATGTGATAAGGGTAGTGAAAAAACAGGTATTTTTGAGATTTTTAAAAAATGTTTCATATTTAATGTTTTTTTAAAGAACACTTTACATAATATGTTGTCACTTTTAAACACAGACTATACATGTTATAATAGAAAAAATGATCAGGTCAGAAGGCAGGAGATCTGGGTTCTAATCTTGCCCTCCCACAGACTAATGAACAATGTGTAGTCTACCTTCTTTGAGTCTCAGCTTTCAAGTGTGCAAAATGAGTGTTACGGACTGAATTATGTCTCCCCAAAATTCATATGTTGAAGTCCAAACCCTCAGTACTTCATAATGTGACTGTGTTTGAAATCAGAGTCTTCAAAGAAATAATAAGTTAAAATGAGATCATTAGGTGAACTCTAATCCAACATGACTGCTGTCCTTATAAGAAGAGAAAATTAGGACACAGACCCACGATGAGGAATATGATGTGGAGACGCAGGGAGAAGACAGCATCTACAGGCCAAGGAGAGAGGCCTCTGAAAAAAACAACCCTGCCAATACATTCATCTTAGACTAAATTTCTGTTGTTTAAACCACATAGCCTGTGGCAGGTTGTGTCAATACAATGGGCATTGTGAGTTTCCCGGTGATTAGATACAGTTATGTGTTTGTAAAGCATCCGGAGCATGGTAGTTATTTAATGTGTGCTAATCAATATTGCACTTGCTGCTCTTAGTTTTGTTTACTGGGCAGGTAATTTATAATTCATATATTTTATCTTATCTTGAACATACAGCAGTTCTTTAGGGTAGAAAATAGATCAAATTATATTTTCTATAGCATAGGTCACAGGACTCATGATTTAAAAGTTATTAATAGGTTTTGGAGTAAGAGTGGCCTTGGAACTGTGCTGTTTTCTATGTTATTGTCTGTATTTAATCTATTTATCTTTCAGTTTTGCATCTTGGAATGTGGATAATTAAATTTGCTTTTTGAAACAAAATTTCATATATGTAATAGATTACCAGTGGACACAAAATTAGTGTTTAATAAACTGTAACTATAATAGCTGTGTTCTTATTTATTTATTTATTACTTATTTGTTAATACTCATCAATGCTTTTTTTGAGAAACATCAATGTGAGAGAGACACATCAATCGGTTGCCTCCTGTATGTGCCCCAGCCAAAGATCAAACCTGCAACCTGGGTATATGCCCCGACGGGAATCAGACCTGTGGCCCTCTGGTGTTGGGATGACATCCAACCGAGCCACACTGGGCTCATTTAGCTCTTTAAACCTTTTCCAACACACCCCAGCCCAGAACAGCCTCTTCTGGTGCACCCGTTTCCCCCATCACCTCTCATTTGTCTTTTTGTTTCCTTTTGAGGAGCTAAAGCATGTCTTTTGTGATATGATTCCTACTGCTGCCCCAATGCCCACACACTTGCTTTTCCTCCAAGGGCAGTCTCTGCCCAGCGAAATTATTACCTCGGCTAGATTAGCGTTTCCCACAGTGCACTGCCCCTGACATTGCTTACTCAAGAGGTTAAAATGCTAAAAATAAAATAAAATAAAAATTTAAGGGTTCCGTACCCATATCTTGAGTTAAGCAAAAAATGCGAGACTTTACTAAAACAGGACCTCAGAGGTCTGAAAATGCTCATGCGCATTTTGAGTAGTCAGGAGAGGTGTATGTCATGTGGCCTTGCCTCAGTTTTGTTGACAACAGGCTGTTTTTTGGTCAATTTTCTTAAGAATCTGTATTGTAGACATCAGGATTTAGGTAGTTCTGTTCTAAGGCAGGTAGAACTTCCTTAAAACCTTTCCTTTAACTTCTTTCCCAATCTCTGTTTTGACCACTTTACTTTCTTCTTTGTTGGCTTTAAATAAATAANAAGGAAGGTAGAACTTCCTTAAAACCTTTCCTTTCACTTCTTTCCCATTCTCTGTTTTGACCACTTTACTTTCTTCTTTGTTGGCTTTAAATAAATAATAACTTTTACTAAAAAATAATCTATTCTCATAACCAAATAATTTGCTTCAGTCTACATACTGGATAAGGATTGTGGTATGTTTTAAAGGTGGGAGAGGCAAAACACATAACAAAAGAGTACTAAATCCATATTAAAATCTAAACCTTACTAAAAACTGAAGAAGGCAAATGAAGGGCAAATGTCATTTTCACTTATCACACTGGCAAGATCGTACCTGAAGTTTGTGAACAGAGTCACCTTCAAACACAGCTTTTAGGAATATAATAATATGCTAATTATTCTATCTTGATTGTGGTATAATAGATCATTTTAATTGTCTTATGTTTTTTTCTGGATTTCCAAATTTTCTACAGTAAATATATTTTATTTTGATATCAAAAGAAATACCCATTTGTTTTCATGACTCCAAGAAGAAAATAATATGAGGCATTCATGGCTTTTTTGTAAATCTGCTTGTTTGTTGGTCATATAACCCTTACAACATCTTTTCNGTTCATGGCTTCTTTGTAAATCTGCTTGTTTGTTGGTCATATAACCCTTACAACATCTTTTCCCTAGTACTATTTTAAGGGCATAAAGAAAAGGCAGACTGGTTTGATAAACATTAATTCACATACAAGTGCATGTGAATACTAATCAGGATAATTTCCACTTTCAGATGGCAAGAACAATACCCAGAGGAAGTCTTTGCTACTTATAAGATTAAGTGGAAAAGAAAATAACTGTATCTTACCTGATAAGCAGTGAATAGTTTCTTCCATCATCCACTTTAATAGTAGTGTTAATGCTTTTCAATTCTGCTTCACCAGCACAGAAAAAGTGGTACTATGGGAAAAAAGTGTTTTTCCTCAGTTTTTCAGTGTGAAACTAACATCTTATATTTGCATTGGACTTTACAATTCACCAATATTTTTTTTTTTATTGTGCTAGTGAGACAAGAGTCTAAAACTTAAAGAGAAATGACAGCTCAAAGTAGGCAACTAGTAAGTACTAGAATTAAAACACATAAATGTATGAATATTACATACATATGTACACCATACAAATATAATACACACACACACAGACACACTTCTGGTTTCTTTTCCAGTATTTTGGGGAACCTTGTTGGGAAAGACAGTTTCATCTGCCAGCAGGGAGCAAGAATTATTGGTAATTTTCCTTAGATATTAGCAACTGGGCAATGTAAAGATCAATGAATACAATCTAGAGGGTGATGTTAATGTCACAGGAAGGAAAACCTAAAGACTACAAAAATTAACCATACATTCTAAGTTTTCCAAGGCTTAAGGAGGCCTATGGACTTTTGTAGGATTGTTGCTAATTGGCCCAAATGAGTTATAGTTTAAAAGGGACAAATCGTGTCTATAACTGGTATGTTTGAGCTGACACCTCTGGGAATTGCATGAGTGGGCTGCACTGCCTATTTATCTTCTCAACAGCATGTGCCTGGATGTATATTGGTTATATTGTGACTATACTTTCCCAGGAAAAAAAAGGCTTTATAGTCTTTATCATCTCTATAAGATATCTGTAACCCACATATAAGTTAAAGAAAAACAGTTGGGTAGTGTTTCATAACTCCTATGCATCCAGCTATACTGAATTGATATATTTAAATCTTCTCACATGTAGTTCTAAGGTAAATATAACGCGATGTATTTTAATTTTTTAATGATATTGGGCATTGCAAAAGGTTTCTTTCCTTTATAAAATTATCTGCTCTGGTTCACTTTAAGAAAACTTCCAAAAGTTTAAAAAACACCCAAATATACCTCCATGCACTTTGCAGAAAATAAGTTACATAACATTTGGTTATACATTTTCCTCAAGCCATGTGAAACTAAGGGAAACTCAGTATTTGTTTACTGAATTTTTACCCTGTGTCCATATACAACCAAAGTTACTAAAGAATACATTTAATATTTTTAACAGCATAGGCATTAATTTATTTGTTTCTTATGTATAACACTCAGACATCTATGCTGTTTAGTTAAGATAGTTATTTATGCTTAAATGATAATTTTAATGACCAACAATGTGTGTGTGCAGGTAGAGTAGTTTCCTTAATTTGCTAAAATACTTAAGAAAATTATTTTTCAGGTACTACTAAGTTATTAGTTTCTATTATCTTCAGGGATGTCAAAGTTAAACATACATAAAATATTTAATGGGCAATTCTATTAAGTTTACTTGAGTTTCTCTTTTATTATAAATAACTCCTTTATAATTGTATAAAAAACAGAATTTGCTGCTATTGACTGATTACCCTGTTATCATGGATTTTTAAAGCACTTTACAAGTGTCAACTAATTGTTTTCTTACAAAAGTAAAAACAAACAAAGATCTATGAAATGGAATTATCCTTTTATTATCTTCACTAAACAGAGTGGGAACTGAGGTGATTTGCCCCCAGCCAGGCAGACACAGTGATTTGTGACATAGCTAATAAGTTGGAGGGTTGATATTTGCGTCCCAACTGTGGAAGTATCTACTTACATCCTTGATATTAGAAAGAGCCAATAAGCCCGGCCGGGCGTGGCTCAGCAGTTGAGCATCGACCTAGGATCCAGGCAACTGGGGTTCAATTCCCGGTCAGGGCACATGCCCTGGTTGTGGGCTCCATCCCCATTTGGGGGGGTGTGGGAGGCAGCTAATCAATGACTCTCATCATTGGTGTTTCTCTCTCTCTCCCTCTCCTTTCCTCTCTCTGAAGTCAATAAAGATATATTAAAAAAAAATCCAATAAAATATATTTAAAAATTAAGTTTGATAAATAGAACTTTAAAGCTTAAATTTCCTAAAAATAATTTGACTGACAATTCTGCATTTCTAGAATTTGAGTAGGCCTTAAATTATGATCACTGTAAAAGTTTAACCACAAATATGTCTTTTTGTTAAAATTGTAATGTAAATATATTTCCCATACAATTATACTTTTAAAGTAGATGAGGAAATTGGAGCATAGTCTGCAAATCATAGGGGAACAAGGAAAATCTTAAAATCATAAAGATAAAATAATGCTGAAATTTCCTTTAAGTCATTACAAGGAAGCAGTGATGTGAATGGAAAGAATATAGATTTTATATTGACACAACAGATTAAAAATTCTTGATCTACCACTCTTAAAAGATTGAAGAGCATGTGTAATAATATCAAATGCTCTGAGAGCCTTAGTTTGTCCACAGGATCCTTGTGAGATGCAAAGAGAAAATAATCTTCACGTTTGATTAACATGTCACAGGCATTCTTCTAGGTGTTTATATGCCTTACTTATTAACTCATTGTATTGCATTTACTTAACAATACTTATTAATTTACTATTTTAAACCTCACAACAACTTGTATTACTCTCTTTTTACACATGAGTAAATTTAAGCACAAGGCCCTTAAGTGTCTTAAAAGGTCTCAAAGCTCTTAAGTGACAGAGATGGGATTCAAATTCTGACAGTCTAACTCTAGAATCTATGATCTTAATAAAACTTTCTAAGATGGAGCCTGACACATCATTTCAATTCAATAAATGATAGTAATTATTATTACAGACATGTCAATATATATCCTTTCCTTGTCATAAACTCTAAAGAAAAGAAATTCTATACCTCTCTTCACCCATTACATATTACAATTCCTCAATGTCTTGGTTCAATCTATCATGAATTTATTTTTATCCATTGAAAGTGAAAGAAGTCTCCTAATCTATATTTCATAAAATATTTTCACCCACAATATCAAGTCTCTGGATATTCCTTGTAACGTCTCTGACTGGAGATGTCCACAGTGGTGAGAGGAACTAGCAGAGTTAGACACTCGGTTAGGCAGTTGAGTTAGCAGCAGAAAAACATGCTGAGGAAACATTCTGAACATGACCAATGTTCAATATTATGTTTGCTTTATTTCTTATATTTGGTCTCTATATTTTTTCTGCTTATTATAGGACTAATGGAAATTTCTGGTCTTAGTTAAGAAAAATGCTATCGGCCAGGGATCAACAAACTTTCTGATGTTTGATGATTTATTCTAGTACCCTACTCATTACATAATTCTACTTTCTTGCTCTGGTTTCACCTGCTATTATTATTTGTAATAAGTTGGAAGCAATATAAGGAGAACAAAGTGTGTTTTATTTACCATCGAATCTTCAGAACCTAGCAAAATGAATGGTAACAGATAAATGTTCAATGAGTGAGTGAACAAATAAATGAATGTATAAAAATGCTGCTACTACTATTAATCTTTTATATCTGACATTTATTTATGGTATCAGTCATTGTTCTAAATTATGTATATAGGCTATATTACTTCAGAAAGATGAGCAGTTAAAGAAAGATCAGAATAAATTCATAAAATTTACTTTAAATTAAATAAATTTAATGGCTTACCTGTAAAGTACCATTTTCAATAAATAATTGAATAAAAAATCCATCTATTAAGTTTGAGTCTTGCTTGAAGTAGAGCAGGAGTCCATAGGAGCTGAAGGTCTGAAATTCTAGGGAGATGTTATTTTGTGGATTTAAAAATATATTTTGAAATTCTAGGTAGGAATCTCCATAATAGCAAACACAACTGAAATCTATGGAATCAGAAAAAAAAAAAAAAAATGCAGTTTAGGTTGGAATAGAATGTTCAATAGTTGGGTGTCACATTATTAACATTAGCATAACGTACACTGAAATGGCTCACACCTGACTCTTTCCTGCCTGTTACAAGCCTAGGCACCTATTACCTTTGCCATAGTCACAGTGGTTTGTCATAATTTCTAAGTATAATCAAATCTCAATGGAAGGCAGGGATATCTAGAGGATTAATCTTTAATAGTGCTTTTACTTAGATTTTATGTTAGAGGCCAACAGAGATAGAACATTTTCTAAAAATGTCACTTACTGCATATATAAGGTATTGGTATTAGATTATGATTTATGTCATTATTGTTAATTTGATTGGGTCACTATTGAGTGCTGATAGAGATTACAGGAATTAAAGGAATTCCCACATTTTTGTAACTACATTATATTATCTGAACTTCTTTAAAAATTTCTCTCATTCTCTTTCTTTTTTCTTTTACCTTCTGAATTATATTTTAATTAGCGTTAATCTTTCAAGTAAAATATGAAAATATTTTGAGCAAAATACTTTGACAATTAATTTCTTAAATTTATAAATATATGATTAAATGAAACCTAGTTAGTTTATTTCTCTCAATATGATGTTATTTTATATTATTAAAAGTTACTTTTCTTTGATAAATACAAAATTGATTCCTGTTGGTTGATATTCCTGTAACAATGGATTTGAGTATATCCTTTCTTTCACTTTCTCCCTTCCACTCCTTCTGGGACACACATCCATGCACACCGATTCTCTCTCTTTAAAAACGTCCAAATTGTTTATTCTTTTATAATTAATAGACGAGATTATTCATGAAACTGTAAGTTTTAGTTTGCTAGCCATCAAGATTAGATATTTTAAAAATATTTACTTTAAAACTTCTATAGATTTTATATTCTACGTGGAATATTTTTCTTATTAAAATTTTTCAATAAAGGTTTAGAAATACTCATTGTGGTAAATTTTCAAACTTGTACAGAATCTCTAAGAAAATAATTAGCTAAACCTCAAAGAAATTTTACCTTTAAACCATAAACAAAAAGGCTCAAAATATTACCAGAAAACATTTGTACTTTGCAGACAAAAAAAGCAGATTTTTTTAAATCAAGTACTTTATTAAAAAAGGTGGTTCAAAAATTGAAAATATTAACACTGTGCTTTTAATTTTGACATTCTAATTGTTTTAGTAGTTATATCTGTGATAGAAACAAACATTGCCTTATAAAGTCTTTTGAAAGCAACTCAACGGCTTTTATTAAAGAAACTTTAATTAGAAATCAGGGCCAGTCACTTATTGAGACATTAGACTTTATATATTTGTTCTGTAGGCAGTAGTTAATTTTTTGGTAACTCCTCAAAATAAACTATAGAATCAAAGAATGTTTGAGTTGGGAAGCATTTTGGGGGCCTCTTGCCTGATGTTAACCTGAAAACATTATTGCAAAGATTTTGACTCTTAAATAATTCTCTTCCTTGTAAAATTTAATGACCAATTTTAAAGGTATGGTACAACAGAATTTCACATAACACCAAATAATTTGGGAAAGTGAATTTTCCAAATTATTTGGGTGAATTGGGAATGAAGTCAAATATCCACTTGACTCAAAGTTCAAAACGTGAAAGAGCATAAAATATTTGCAAAGACTAATATGACAACATAAATACATCCAACATTGGTGAAATAAAGAAACTACTATATAGTTTTAAATGCTTTAGAAAGAAATATATTGTCCAATCAACATTAGCTAACTTGAAAGCTCTTTTAATTTCATTATTTTTAATGTATATATTTATATGAATGAAATTTTTAAAAATTAAGTGGCTTTGTTAGCATGTGACCAGTGCTCTGTATACAATCCAGCCATACATATTTGGTTCATTATTTTATCCCAAATAACTCATTTTCTTAAGCATCTGAAACCACTTACTATCTCTTATGAAAAATATAATTGCTTTTGTTTAAATGTACCTGGAAAATTATATTTTTATATTTGGATAAAAATAATCAGGATATATTTGGTATAGTGTTAGGCCGTATTTGTAGTATTTCTTATGCAAATACATGAATACAGATTCTATTTTACACTTCCCTTAGCAAAAATCTTAATCAAATAAAAAGAATGATGATATGAAGAAACGCATAGAGACTATTTCCAGTAATGACGGGCTAGTGCAGCAATTTTCAACAAGTGTGCAGCAAGAATTTTCAAAACATGCAGTGCCTGACTATTCAGTCAAGGGCACTGACCTCTTTTCTCTTAGACTGTCAAGTAAAAAAAAAAAAAAAAGACAACAGCCAGCACAACAACAGCTATCCAATGTGAATGAATCAAAATTATACCTATTTTTTTTCAGATCAGCAAAAAATTTAATATTTTTTGGTGTGCTGCAGAATTTTAGTAATTAGTTTATGTGAGCCTTGAGATGAAAAAGGTTGAAAATTGCTGGGCTAGTATATATTAATAATTCCATACATTTTTAATTATCTAGAATTAATTAAATCATATGTTTCTGCCTCTGGGTTTTCATTTTTCCAAATAGAAGAAATTTTATCTCAATTGTATGCCCTCATATTCTAATTATACCTCTGAAAGAGTTTGTATGCTTTTGATACAAATAACCAGAAAGCCCAATTTCAAATAACTTCAGTACTAAATAATTTAGTGGCTTAACCAACAAGTTCAATAGGGTGGGCTTCCAAACGGATGTTTGTGTATGCAAAAGGTCAGCCACCTTCTCCTAAAACACCCAGGCTTCTGTCTCTCCTCTCTGCTACTCACGACGTGAGCTTTAATCTGAGACTTGCTTCTCTCCTGATTTAATAAGTGGCCCGTGGTAGTTTAAGTGACATACTTCCTCATCTGTGTCCAGTCCCCAGTTTCCTATATATTCAAAAGAGGAAGGAAGAGCCTTGCCAAGCATAGAATGGACCTTTCCTAACAGCTTACTGGCTAGAACTAGGTCACTAATGAGGCCCTCCCCTAAAGATGAAGATGGGGTCAGTCCCCAGGGACCTGCGGGGATGGGTTCACAGCGGACAACTGGTGTTCTGTTGGGAACAGTCCTTCGAAAATCAAACCCCGTACACCTCTAGATTTATGACTTACTTCATAGTTAATATCTGACTGTTGGATTCAAAGACTCAAAATGCTCAGTTACATGCCCAAAGCAGATACTTTAACTTTCGTTGCCAGCTCCTGTCTCCGCTACTGCTTCTGAGAGGTGACTCTTGCCTTTGTTTCTAACAGCACATACAGAGCATAAGGATGGGTCTCAGCACTAAAACTTTTACTTGAAATTTGGTTGTTATTGTTAGATGGGCAGTTGCCAAAATTTTTTTGAAACATAATTATTTGAATTTCTAGTGCATAGTGATCCAGCGCCACTTCCACTATATGTGGATAAAGAAAACTTCCAACATGTTTTAGTGAAAAATCAGGAGTCAATATCCCTGCCCTCCCCTACGGCACAAAGAAGGATTTTAACTAGATTGGAAAAATAAGGAAAAAAATATACTTTAGAAGAAATTAATAATGCATTTTAGGCAAAAATAAATAAGTATTTAAATGAGAACAACCAATATGAAACTAATGTATCTAATATTCAATTATTTGATGTTATGGACAATTACTCCATAGCACGCTTTCCTTTTAATAAAACAAATACATAGAGAAAGAAAAGGATTCTTAGCTTATGATAAATCTTGAGCCCTTTTTTTTGTATTTCTTGATTAGAATATCAGAAAATACTAAATAGATTTTAGAGAAGAGTATATATATATTTTTAAAATATATCTTTATTGATTTCAGAGAGAGGAAAGGAGAGGGAGAGAGAGATAGAAACATCAATGATGAGAGTCACTGATCGGCTGCCTCCTGCCTGCCCCCTACTGGGGATCGAGCCCGCAACCTGGGCATGTGCCCTGACCGGGAATCGAACCCCAATCTCCTGGATCATAGGTTGATGCTCCACTGCTGAGCCACACCCAGCAGGGTAGAACAGAATTTTTTTATAGTTAGTGTTCTATATATAAGGTTAAATGTGAAAGTTGGAATCTTATGAGAGAATAATTGAACACCAAGCTTTTCTACAAGATTGATAGTTTGATAACTATGATGACTAGATAGTTTAAAAATGTATATCATTTAACCCTATTTCTAGTAGATTATTATCAGTATCAGTGTAATCCATGAGTAATCACCAAATAAAGAGTGATTACATATATTGCTTTTACAGTATGTATCCCTAGCTAAATGTTAAAAAGTAATCCACTTTTTAAAATAAAATGCAAAATGGCCCTTTGTTCATTTCACATGTTAGAAGTTATATCTATGAAGTAATAGTGGACATTTGTGATGTGTGTATGCACAATTTTCTATTAAATGAAGAATCAATTTGAGAAGACTATACATATAAAACAAATAATAATATAATTTGAAAGGTTTACTTAACTGTTTATTAAGAGAACTATAATGAGTCTTGATTCTTAATTCTACCAATAAGCGTATCAACAACTATTAGCTAGAAAAACTCCCTGTGACTTGGTTCTCTTCATTTGTATTATTTCTAGAAAGAAGAGCTTGGATTTATTACAAAATACTCTCCATGTTTAATGCTTTATACTTCCACGTTCTATAAAATGTGTTTAATTCAGCTTAAAATCCATCTTTACATAACCCATTTAAATTCATATCAATTAACTTAATATCTGCTAATAAAGAAGGAGAAGGGGGAAAAGTTAACACTTATCCGCTGTTGAGTATGTGCTAGGTATATTGTTAAATACTTTACTCAGGCTTTTTAAAATGTTGACATGTTTCCTGGCAACTTAAAGATTTATGGTATTTGAAAATGCTTTTGTGGAAACAAGCATATTTCAAAATAAATTATGAAATACGTTTCTTTCACAGATTTTCACAGATTGGACTGTAAGTCAAGGACAGTTCTTAGAGCACGTATTAATCG